CAAAGATATAAATTTGGGCAGAAGTATATCTAGAAAGACAAATTTTTTCTGTGCTCCGATTAATTTTTAGCTATGAGCAGTTTAAAACTGACAAGAGAGAAATATCACCGTTGAAGCTTAATTCACAAAGTAACCGTGATTTAGTTTTCCATTCATTTTCCCCGTGCTTAAAGGTGATCACGTGGTAGTGTCATACATAACCAACTGTGGAGAATGCACATACTGCAGGAATCCTAAGACCAACCTTTGTTGCAGGTAAAGGGAACGAGACCTCGGCTTTGTTTACACTCGAATTGGTGCCCAAATAGGGTGCCCGTATACGATTATCGACTAAGCTCTTTACGTGTTAACACACCCTTTGTTCAAGTGTTCACGCCACAGAGAAAACTCTCCAGCGCGGGAAAGGGAACAGGTTCCCTTGGGCACGCCTCGGTGTCGGATTTTCAGGAGCAGGTCTAGATCGCGCGAAATTCGGATTTAATCGATTTCAAAGTTTTTTTTTGTTGTTGTCCTAGTGATATCGATCTTACTAGAAACTGCATTTTGACAAGTTTCAATTCATAGTTAATCACTGGTGAAAATTTTGTAGCGATAAGACAAGGATAAAATTACTTTTAAGGCGATTGAAAAACGTCAGTATGGTCTGCGAAAAACTGTATCGAAACACCTTAAACCGTAGGGAGATCAAACTGCATGGCCGTGACCCAGGCTTGACTTGATTCCTAAAGGGGACCATACTTGTCGAGATAATCAAATAAAAGCTTTTGTGATTTTAACTGTGGTAATAATATTTTTATATAGGTCTTTATTTGCGCAAACCCTAAGCTACACCTGGATATCGGTTTTCCACCAGAATCTGCAGTGTTCACCAATGAGTACGAGAGACGAACGACATCCCGTCCCTTTTAAAAAGGATTTCCCCCACACCTCGTAGTTTCCTCTAGTAGATGGTTATTGGATGTGGATGTTTTTGACCCACAGACCATCGCTTCGCATAACCTTAACTTCCTGCTACGTTTTCGCTTTAAAATGGCTTCGCTGTCTGTTTCAGATCATCTTCGCCACACCTTTGACACGACTCAAAGGTGATCAAAGGCAGCGTTTTGTCCAGAGATTGTGATTTGTACTTCATCCCTCCATTTTCGGACTTTTGTTTATATCAGTGCAGTCAATGCGTATCGTCACTGTATAGTAAGAGTCAAGCGTATAGTAAGACCGTACATAATGGTAAATGGATATTTGGTCAAGAGATGTCAGTAGATCACTCTTACATTCGCTTCTTCTTGACAGAATGGACGAACTTGAAACAGGAATAATGTTAGATG